GAGCGCCGAGGTGACCGTGCCTGTGGGATAAAACGGGAGCAGGCAGGGAGCAGCCTGAGGGCACCTGGCTTCAGCAATCAATATTTAGGGGCACGTGACCACCCCCTTGCATCACTTACTGGGAGAGGGCTCTGGCTTAGTGCTCTGCACAGGCTGTGGGGGGGAGGTCCCTGACTGGTGTTCCCTGTAAGCTGAGCACTTAGGCAGCCACCCAGAAGAGAGTCAAATATTTAGCTGCGCACCGCAGCCAGCAGTATGTGTTTTCACTGGTGGTGCACATTCACACATGCCTTAGTGCACATAACATTTATTCTGCACACAGATGGGGAAAAAATTAGAACATTGGCAGGGGGACCCATCCTCTGCCCCCTTTCTCTTCCCCAGCTAGGGTCATGGGGGTTAAGCAGCAATTGGGGGCTTTTCCTTAGAACAGGAGGAACAAGGGGCTAGCCATCATAAAGGAAATCACCTGCCACCCAGCATTTATGGTAGCTACAGACCCCGGGTAAAAGTGGGCTGCTATGGTAGCATTTTAACCTTGCTTTCCCTTTTGCTCCTCCTCCCCACATCATTTGCAGCCTTGCTTGTAGGGTCTGACTCTGGCTCCTTCTCTGAAGCCCTATCTCTGCTCACTCCATCCTCCCTCCTTTTTACCAGATGGGGGTAGGGGGTTGGGACACAGGCTCTGTCTTGAGTTAAGGGATTTGGAGTGAGAGGGGCTCTGAGCTGAGCCTGGGGCAAGGAGTTGGTGTACAGGAGGGGGTTTAGAGTACATGCTCTGTAAGGGAGTTTGGGTCCAAGGGGCTCAGTGCTAGGATAGGTGCAGGAGGGGGTACATGGTTGGGGCAGGGTTTGGGGATTCTAGCTCCAGCTGGACACTGCTTACCTCAAGTGTTTCCTGGGTGGTGGTGCTAAGGCAGGTTCACACCTGCCCTGGCCCTGGCCCTGGCCCTGGCCCTGCACCACTCTCAAAAGCAGCCAAGAAACTCCCTCTATCCCAAGCCCTGTGCCCTTCACATCCATTCTGTGGAGATAGAATACAGGATGGGAGGGGCCCACCCTGACATCAGTGCCCTCTCCAGAATATAAGGTGGGAGAGGCCTACCTTGACATCAGTACCCCCTCCTCTTCCTTCCCTGCTCTGCACAGTAAGCAAGAGGCTTTGAGGGGGAGGGGGAAGGTACCTCCATGAAAAATACAAAGTACTCCATTTAGGAATAACAATCCATTACACACATACACAATGCAAAATGACTACTTAGGAAAGAGTACAGTAATTCCTCATTTAACACTATAGATATGTTTCAGAAAATGATCGTGTTAAGTGAAAACGTGTTATGTGGGATCAATTTTTCCATTGAAAATAATGGAAAAGGTGGGGGTTGCGTTTCAAGCGGTGGTGTCGGTTGGGGGAGAAAGGGGACTGAGTTACAGCAGGGATGGGAGGTGTTTGGCTCTGGGGAAGGGAAGGGGAGGGGAGGAGAGAGAGGGGATTGGGTTGGGAACATGCCCCATGTGATGGGTCTGCCGGGACCCGCACTGCATCTGGCGAGGGGGGGTTCACTGGGGAACGGCGCAGCGAGCGGCGAACCCTCCACCACTTTACAGGGAGGTGGGGGAAGTCCCGCGCAGCTACTGGCGACGGGCTGGCTGGGGAAATTGTGTTATTCCAGGGACGATCGTGTAATTCAAAAAACGTTCCCTAAAAAAAATCGTGCTATTGCAAAAACGTGTTAAGTGGGCACGTGTTAAATGAGGAATTACTGTACTGCGGAAAGAGATCTAGGGGTCCATAATGGACAACAAGCTAAATATGAGTCAATAATGTAACACTGCTGCAAAAAAATCAAACATCATTCTGGGATGCATTGTCAGGAGTACAGGCAGTCCCCGAGTTACGCGGATCCGACTTATATCGGATCCGCAGTTACGAACGGGGATTTTCTCGCCCCGGAGGACTGGAGCGGCGGGACGCCTGGTCCCGCCGCCTGCGTCCTCCGGGGCAAGAAAAGCTGCTCTGCGTCTCCCTGGTCTGCTGGCGAGGGGGGGGGGGGGGGAGAGGAGC